TCCACAAAGACAAGTTGGGGCCGCCAGCGTTGGCTGAGGTCTCCGAAAGAATTCCAGAAGTCCTTCTGAATGTGTGGGGGCTTCTTGAAATGGGGGGCATGAGCGACCATGACAATGAGCTGTAACGCAGGAGCCAGCAACCTCGCAACCAGAATGCGAGGGCACGAGTGCATGACCTTGACATGACTGGGTGCTAAGACGAGCTCCTTTTTTTGTCCAGTGGGGATGTGAACCCTACCGTACCCGTATCCCACGGTGCCCCAAGCTTGACCCCAGGAAGATGGCTGACGCCGACGACCGCGCCGCCTTTGCTACCCAGTTAGGACACTCCCTCTGGTTTCCCTGGGACCTGGATGTCAACGGTCACTTGGACGAGCTTTCCTCTGCCATGCTACGCTGTGCTAGTGCGTGCTTTGCTTATCCCGCCCGCGCGCCCAAGCAACCGCACGTGTCCTCGCAAGCTATTGACCTCATAAGTTGGCGCCGAGGTGCCACTAGGGCCCTTCGCAAATGGCACACGCCCCCATGCGCCATGTCTCAGAGCGAAACACCACCATCCCAGCAGTACCCTCACTCTTTGGCGTTCTCCCTATTTCGTTATGCAAAGCGTATTACAGCTGGTGATCTCGCGATTGCTCATGACGGGCGATTCACCGACTACATGAGGAAAGCAGTAGCCCCTCTCTTGTTTGCAGCCAAGCAAATGCGGCGCTTTCTCATCTCACCACATGCCTTTGCCGACGCAGTCATGAGCTTCTTTTTAAGAAGCAAGTCGACCTTATCCAAGATTCTACACGACGACAGGAATTGTTTTTTTGAGAAACCGGCCAACCTAATTAATATGTCTGTCGACGCCCGCATGCCCATGGCCCAATGGAACCATGTTAATACGTTGCTCGCAGCAGGGGGGAGAAAGAAGGGGGCTTCGCGCGTTCAGGACGCACAGACTATGATGGTAGCCCCCCCTACCCAGGGAGAGATTGCAGAAGCCCAGCGGACTGGCTCAGTTGCGTCTGATCGTCTACTGACGTCTCAGGCCGATGTCGCTCAGCACATGCAGGCCCATTTTCAGGCCGTGGAGCTGGGTCGTGCTGCCACCCTCGCAGAGGTGGTCCAAGACATCAACGGGTTACCAGCTCTCTTGCGGGTGGCGGATGACCGAGAGCCTAGGGTTCTCCCCTCAGCGGTGGATATAGAGCACGTCATACGGCGCATCAGGGTCGGCAAGTCCCCTGGCCCTGACGGGGCCCCTGCTGATTTGCTCCGTGCTGCTCCCCGTGCCCTTGCCTCTGCCCTGTGCCCACTGCTGTCCAAGATTGCCCTTGCTGCTAGGGAACCTATAGTATTTAAGATGGGGGAGTCACCTTCTTCTACAAAGGCTCGGGGCCCCCCCAGGTTGCCAAGGCTCAGCGCAATATTACTATGGCGAGCACTATTTGCAAGCTATATCATCGCCATATACGTTCTCTTGCCCTCGACTTCTTTGCCATGTGCTTGCTTGATGAGCAATGCGGGGGGCTTGCGCACAAAGGCCCAGAGATGGCCGTGCACGGCCTGCATTTAGCTAGTGTTGCCGCGCACAAGCGTAAGTTTTCGACTCTCATCTTCTCTCTGGACTTGGTTGACGCCTTTTATAGCGTCATCAAACAGTTTGCGTTGTCACTGCCGGGTGAGGAAGAAAAATTGGAGGACGCCTTACGGCAGGTCCAGCTTCCCCCCATCCTACTAGAGGGTGCCAAGGTCATGCTGGCAGCCGGCAAGCCATTGGAAGCTCATGTCCCGTCTGCTCACCTCTTGGCACTCATCCAGGAGTCTCAGAGAGGCACGTTCTGGCAAGTTCGCAATGCCCAAGGATGTGTCCTCCCTGGGGGGGGCACCAGGCCGGGGACTATCTTAGCTACCGGTTTTTTCAACTTGGTTTTCAGGTCCGTCTTACTAAAAATCCGCGAGGCCATTGGCGAGCTGTCGGCATCAGTAAGGGGCGTCTTTGACCAGCCTGAACCACTCTGCTCGTCTCAAAGCGATTGGGATAACGCTCAGCCCGATCTTTCTTTCGTTGATGACCTCACAGTCACTTTGTTTGTAAAAAGGGCAAAGGATATGCCCACGGTGGCGTTGGCCCTCGCTGAGGCAGTGTACGTGTCCTGCCTATCTCTAGGGCTTCGCCCAAATGCCGCCAAGACCAAGTTACTTGTGTTTCTGCGTGGCGTGGGGCCCCGCGGGGTCCCTGGTTTCTCTTTTGGGGCCGCGGAGGTCCAGTCTGCGCGCTGGGGTTTTGCTTTCCCTATCGTCCAGGTTCACAAGGTTTTGGGTGTTCAAATCGCCGCGTCTGGCAGCATGGCTCCTGAAGTCACCGCCCGCTGAGCCAAGGCCCGCGCCGCCCTCAGGCCCATCAAGGCCACCGTTGGCCCGGGAGAGGGCTTCTCACTACGCTCCAAAGTCCTGTATTATGAGGCTTTGTCTTCGTCGGTCCTACATTATGCAGTGGCCATTTGGCGTACTATTACTGATACCCAAGCTCGACATATGTGCACGGCGCACATGGCGGTATACCGAGCAGCATTGAATCTTTCAAGTACCAACAACGCCAATGATCATGCTCTCTCTGCTCAGGTCTTGTTTGATACGCAGAGATTCCCGCAAACCATTGTCATGACCATCGCGAGGCTCCGTTATCTCGCACGCATGCTCACCTATGCCCCCCCACTCATTAGGGTACTAGTAGATATAACATGGGATGATCCCCGAGGCTGGGCGCACCAGCTACAGGCGGACTATGACTGGCTTTTGTTCCACACTGACCCTGCCCGCCGTCCTACCGACACCACGTCTCCTGGACTGATCCGATTTGTTTTGGAGAATCCCCGTGCCTACCGCTCCGTCATTAGTTCTGCCATCTGTCATGCTAAGCCACATGTTCAGGACGACATGCACAGAGCTATATGGGAGAGAGAGCTCCGAATTACCGCTCAGGGGACCCCTCTTTGCGACGCGCCCCCGTCGGTCCCTCTCCTTAAGTGCCCCCACTGCACTCATGCCACAGCTAGTGAGCAGGCCCTTTTGGCACACATGGGGAAATTTCACAAAACGCCCGAGGCCCCGACGGCCATAGCAGTGGGATCTGTTTGCCAAATGTGCCTGAAACAGTTCAGTGATGTAGCCAGACTCACTCAGCACCTTCGCAATGCCCCCACTTGTCGCGTTTCCTGGAGCAGGTCAGGCTACGCAGCAGGTCCAGCCCACCAAGGCGAGCTGGCCCAGGCGCGTGATGAAGCTCGCCGAGTAGCAGCCGACAACCGATCGAAGGGGAGGCCGGCCAACTTTGCTTCATCCCCCCCCCGCCCAGCTCGAGGGACCACCAGTTGGACCTCGCATCGTTGTCTCGCGCAAACAGGCCAAGCTTGAGGCCCCAGCACTACAGGTCCTCCCTCCCCCTCCGCCTCCTGACCCCTCCGTTTTCTCCCCGAGGCCCCTGCCCATTCGGCCTGTCAAGTATATCCTTCACCTGTTCTCAGGATTCAGGCGTGAGCGAGACTTCCAGTGGCATTTGGAAGATATGCTGAAGGAACTCCCCACTAACGTTATTGTGCTAAGTATTGATGTTGCTAATCATGCAACGCACGGCGATCTCACTGCCCCTGCCACTATACGATTGTGGTCCCTAATGTTACGCTCTGGGCGCGTCGCTGGAATTCTCGCTGGCCCGCCTTGCGAGACATGGTCCTCGGCTCGTCACCTGCCCGTCCCCGAGGACGCCCCAGGGGGGAGGAAGCCACCCCGCCCCCTGCGTTCTGCCCAGCATTTATGGGGACTAGGCCACCTCAATGCCAGAGAGCGCGAGCAGGTGCGCCTAGGAAACATTCTCCTACGCACCACCATTCGTTTCCTGTACGAGGCCTGGGCCTTCGGGATCCCTGCTATTATGGAGCACCCTTCCCTTAACAGCCGCATCCCTGAGGCTCCCAGCTCCTGGTTGCTTCCCCAACTTCGCAGGCTTGAGGGGCCCCCTGGGGTCAAGGCTCACCACATCCATCAGTGCATGTTCGGGGGCCAGGGGCTGAAACCCACTACGCTCCTCGCGGTTCACGTGCCAGCTATGGGGGCCATCCTGGAGGCCAAGCAAGGCCGAGGCAGGTGCACCCACGCGAGTTCACATAGGGGGTTCTGGGGGGTGGGCAACGATGGACTCTGGCGCACTGCTCACCTCAAGACCTACCCGAGTCGCTTGTGCCTGTTTTTGGCTGCCAGCTTCCTTGAGGAGACCCGCTCTAGGTTCGCCGAACTGTGCCAGGGCCCTGGACGCCCTCCTCCCTTGTCCCCTGCTGCTGTCAGGCCACCACTTGCGTGGGCCCTCAACGACGAACGAGCGTTAAGGGCGTTGGTGGACCTCGGCGATTCTTGCGACGGGTGGAGTGTGCCGACAGGGTTACGGCAGTTCTCGGCACCGTGGGACCCCTACTTGGTCCAGGGCATCAGTATGGATTGTATGTTGCATCGGACGGCCACGGATCCCGACATGTGACGTGCACCGGCCCTCCTTTCTTCTTTTGTCTGTGTGCGTGATTGTTTGTTCTCTCATTGTTGAGTTGCAGAGCTGCTAGCCTTATGCCAGCAGCGTTGTGTTTCAGTGAAGGGCTCTTCGTGAAGGAACGCCGAGCCCAACCACAGGCTCCGCAGGGTGCGCCGCCCTCTCGGCAGTAACGACATAGCATGCTGGGCGGCCATCGCCCAGCTTCGCCTCAGGCAGTAACTGGTTTCACTTCGTGGGGGAAGGCTCTTCTTTTCCATCTCTACATTACTTCCCTTTTCCATTCTTAAGTGTCCGACAGCTTTAAGTGATAGTACCCCTGCTTGCATTTGCAGGTGCAGGCCGCGCCGAGAGCGCTTGGCAGTTCAGTCCACCTCCGCGGTTGCTGTTGCTGCCTGCTGTCATTCTTCACCCAGTGTTCTTCTCGACCTTTCTCTCACCATCATTGGCTTCGACTCTCCGCCATCCGACCGAACCGAACCGAACCGAACAGGAGGAGGAGGAGGAGGGAGGAGGAGGATGAGCAGGGGGGGGGGGGCTGGAGACTCTCCCAGAGGCCTCTGGGAGGCCTCCGTAGAGGCCTCCGGGGACTCGAGAAGCATCCCCGGGAGAGCCCCAGGCTTCGGGGGACCTGTAGGCGGGGCCAGCGGAAAGGTCTTCCCACGAGGCCGCGGGAGGCATCGGGAGAGGAGCGCTCCAGGGAGAACCCAGGGGGTGCAGGGCTCGTTTCGATGCCTCCGATCCGATTCGATCCGATTTCGATGGCTTTCGATTCCGATTCGATTCGGCTTCGAATTCCGATCTGGCTTACGATTCCTCACTGGAGGCGTACTGGCCTGCCGATTTTCGCCGATTCGGCTTCTTCCGACTCGGCTGGGAGAGCCATGGCGAGAGGAGCGCTCAAGGGAGAGCCATGGGTTGAGTAGGTCCGAGGGTCAGAGAGCGGCTTCCTCTGCAGGACCACCCAAAAAGTGACGTCAAGGTGGTCAAACGCCTCGCCGGTTGAGCCGACGAAGATGTGCAGAGTCCGACAGTTTGCTGATGTCCAGAGTTTTGGTTCGACGCCGGGTGTGGTGCATCAATTTCAGCTTGACCGAACAGGTTGATTGCGCTCCTTGACGTCCGTTTGGGGTGTTCTACAGACCTGACCCCCCAGCCCTACTCAAGCCATGGGCATCGATGTGTCGGTAGCGATGTGCACAGTTGGTAATTTGGAGTTGGTGCATCGTGGAGACCCAGACCCCCTCGGGTCCTGAACAAGATAATGGCGGGAGGGTTTTTCTCCAGTTCCGGCCTCTCGGGGGCCCCTACCGGGCCTCGGGACCGCAAAGAAAAACGAATCAGTATGAAAAACCGGTCCTGGGGAATGGCTCGAGGCTTCTGGGGGTCGACGTTGTGGAGAAATCACCACGTCGGGGGTCTGGTCTGGGAGATACGCCCATGCCTGTCAGATGCCGAGCCCCAGAGGTGCCAGAAATCCTCGCGTGCCCCACCTGCTGCCCCGGGCGCAGGTACAGGCCGCGTCGTTACCTGCAGCGGCGCGTCCCAGATGAGATCGAGACCGTGCTCGGGACGATCGGCCAGGAGGACTTGGCGATGGTCCAGCAGACGTTTGGCTCCCAGCTCCTCGACCTGCCCGGATTTCAGAGGAGGAGGAAGGTACCCATACCTCCACCCCTCTTCCGTTTTCCCCGTTTTGGGCCTCCTGGGAGGCCCTCGTCGACACCGCTGGATTCGCCCCGAAATCCTGGGCGGGACGCACCCCGGGAGAGGTCCAGGGGGCAGCGGTACCCTTGGTTTCCCCAGGATTCGCAGAGTGCATCGTGACGACCGGCACCTACGACAGGGACCAGGTGCTGTCGTTCGTGGGCGGCATCGTGGACCTCTTCCTGGAGGTGGCGCGCTCGCAGGCCCGGCGGGCGGCGGCGCCCACGGCGGCGCTGAGCTGGGCGCAGCTGATGAACCACCTCATCGAGTGCCCGGAGGCTCGACGACACGCAAGAGCGACCCTTCGCCGGAGTGGCCTTTGGCGCGGGCCCAGCGGTGCCCCCCGATCGCCGAACGCGATGCGGTGGTTGCGTCTCGCGCGCTCGGTTTTGGTCCCCCCCCGCGGCCCCCAAAAAGCCGCGCACCAAAGGTCACTCTTGTCGGGGGACTCTCCATGGGATCCCCAGGGGATCCTATGGGATCCCCCCCCCTCGGATCCTATCCCCCCATGGGATCCCCCCCCATGGCGAGTCTCCCGATCTTACCCAGGGTCACTCTTGCGTGTAGTCGAAAGGTGACCAACTTCCAGGGCTCCGAGGCCACCAGCGCGCTCGCGGCCCGAGCGCAGGCCGGCGAGCGGGGCCCGGAGAAGCTGCCCCAGGTCTTCCGCAATGCGTACGTGGACTGCGCCAAGCACCAGGTGATGGGCTTGTTTTCCACCACCACCAGCACCATAAGCGGGAGGGGGAGGGGGTCCTCCTCTCCTCCTCCTCCTCCTTCTTCTTCTTCTCCTCTTCGTCGTACTCCTCCTCCTCCTCCTCCTCCTCCTCCTCCCTCCTCCTCCTCTCTCCTCCTCCTCCTCCTCCTCCTCTTCTTCCCCTCCTTCTTCCCCCTCCAACTCATGGTGGTGGTGGTGGTGGTGGTGGAAAACAAGCCCATCACCAGGGCACCCGCATCGATAAGATGTATTGGATCCCGTACGTCGACATGCTGGCGACCGTCGAGGGGACAGAGTCGGTGTATCTCTGGTCCCCGCACGCAGCGTGCGAGGCGCCCAAGCAGGTGACGCCGACACTCCCCCCGGACGTGTTCGGGGAGGGCTCCAAGGCGCTTTGGAGCGTGCTCGCCGTCGCGTGGGACCCCGAGTTCCAGGACCTCGTGGCCCTGCTCAGTAACCGCATCATGGTCGTCTTCCGGCTGCGGAACCGCGAGAAGGGCCAGTTCCAGCAGAAGCGGGAGTTCCGCTTCCATTCGGCTCGAGAGAAGGACGATCACGGATTGCACGGTCCGGGAGAAGGCCAGCTGGATGGAAAGCAGGGGCGTTTAGGCGGGGGCTCCAGAATATACGTTTGCCACAGACGCTGTTGCGCGCGGAGGCGCGGCGCTCTCCAGGGGCACTCCTGGGGCACTCTGAGGGCACTCTGAGGGCACTCTGCGCACCCTGCTTGCCCCCCCCTTGTGGCCCGATGATCCTGAGGATATGTGTTAGCCGAAAGGGTGTGTTGCCCGTTCGGCCTTTTACCACGTCGGCTGCACCTTCACCACGCCCGGGCGGATGAGCACACGCTGGGGCCAACACCTTCACGCCGCGGCGCGGCAGAGGCGATCCGCGCGCGCGTCCAAGCAGCCTAGGCTACGGCACTGCGCCGTTGGCGCCAGCACACACGTTCTGAGGATCATCGAGTGGTGCCCCCCCCCCCCCCTGTTGGCGCGCACCCGAGAAGGCCGGCCGCTTGCGCCCGGAGAAGGCCGGCCCCTCGGCCCCGGAGAGGGGCGGCGGGAGAAGGCTTTCACGTGGTCGCTGTACCTCACGGCCATCGACCCGCGCACGGGGGAGGACATCCGCTCGCGGAGCCAGGCGGAGCAGGAAAGGATGCCGACGCCGCTGCTCGTCCTGGAGAGCCCTCGTCGCCGCGGCTGTGTTCTCCTCGAAGAATCTCTGACCTTTCCTTCGTTTTCGCCATCTTGGGGCCTCCGGGAAGGTCCTAATCACCACGGCTGGATTCTCCTCGAAATTCTGCTCAGGACGCACCCCGGGGAAGGTCCAGGGAGCAGCGGAAGCGGCATTTTCGTGCCCCCCCGAGGCCAGCCGCGACAGGAGCGCGCGCAAGAAGAAAGTGGACGACGAGCAGGCCATGCGCAAGCAGAAGAGGGACGAGCGCCTCGCTGCGGACGCGTCCACCCAGCTCGACATCTGGTTCCTTCGCCCTGATCCTCCTCCTCGCTCGCCATCCTCCGCCTCCTCGCTCGTCCTCCTCCTCCTCCTCCTCCTCCTCCTCCTCCTCCTCCTCCTCCTCCTCCCCCTCCTCGTTCGGCTACGCGAAAGACTGACCCATCGCCGGAGTGACTCCTGGTGCGGGCCCACAGGGGTCCCCCCGGCACTGGAGCGCGCGCTTGGATTTGGCTTCCCCGCGCCCCCCTGAAGCCGCGTACCAAAGGTCGATCTTGTCGATCTTGTTCAAGGTCACTCTTGCATGTAGCCGACTCTTCAGTGATCCTCCTCATCATCCTCCTCGTTCGTCGTCGTCATCGTCGTTCTCCTCCGTCTCCTCCTTTTTTCCTCCGCCTTCTCCTCCTCCTCCTCCTCCTCCTGCTCCTCCTTCTCCACGATACGGTCGCTCCTCTTCCTCCTCCTCCTCCTCCTCCTCCTCCTCCTCCTCCTCCTCTTCCTCTTCCTCTCTCCTCTCCTCCTCCTCTCCTCCTCCTCCTCCTCCACCTCTCCCCCTCCTCCTCCTCTTCCTCCCGTCCTCCTACTCCTTCCTCCTCCCCTCCTCCTCCTCCTCCTCCTCCCCTCCCTCCTTCTCCTCCTCCTCCTCATCCTCCCATCCTCCTCATCCTCTTCCTCCTCGTCCTCCTACTCCGCCTCCTCCTTCTCCTCCCCCTCCTCCTCTTCATCCTCCTCCTCCTCCTCCTCCTCCTCCTCCTCCTCCTCGCCTCTGGTGGAACGCGAACCTGAAGTGCTGGGTGACCACGGACCGCGGCGGCCGGCTGTTCCTCTGGGACCTACGGTCCAACGAGGGCTCGTTCTCCGACAAGGAGTTGCCCCCCTTCAAGGTGCTGAACGAGCACACCAGGACCGTCACGTCCCTCATGGAGATCGGTAGGACCTCGGAGAAGGAAAAGGTACCGATGCCGCTATCCTTCCCTTTGTGTCGCCACCTTGGGCTTCCTGGGAGGCCCTCGTCGCCACGGCGGGATTCGATTCGAAGATTTGCTCTGCTCAGACGGCACGATTGGAGAGTGCTGTGGAGTAGCGGTATCGGTATTTTGGCCTCGTCCCCCAGGATCAAGTTCACAACCACGTCCCTCGATCGCACGGTCGTCCTCTGGGACAACAGGAGCCTGACCATGGAGGTGAGGATCGCGGATCACGAGCGGTCTGTGCTATCCCAGGCGTATTTGTCCAACTACGCGAGCCTTGTGACCATCGGCTGCGAGAGGCGGGTGTACGTGTGGTCCATCGACTCGACCACCTACCGCGGCCCGCGCGCGAAGCTGTCCCAGCACCAAGCGAACGTGCTCCAGGTGTCCGCGGCGCAGCGGCTCTTCTTCACCATCGACGAGGCCTGCTTCCTGATCGTGTGGGACGCGGCCACGCTCGCCGCCGTGCAGACGGTCAACTGCCGGGAGTGCGCGCCGCGCATCGTCGCCTGCCTGCCCTCCCTCGGCCGCGTCTGCGTCGCCGGCCGGCGCCTGAACTTCTACGAGGGCAACGGGCTGGCGGCCGCCTTCATGGGCGTGGCCCCCACGAAGGCTCGGCGGCGCGCCCGGGGGGGGAAAGCGAGCAGGGGCAGGGCGTCTCGGGAGGCGGCGGAGGGCTTCTCGGAAGCCCCGGGGCCTTCCGAGAGGTGCTCTTGCGTCCTCGGGGAGGGCTTCGAAAACACATCTTATACATATAACGGCGCACCGGGTCCGGGGGCCCGGGGCCGAGACCCCGACCACAAATGTGGGCCCCGGGGGGCCTGGAGGCTCGTCGGGGCTTGCCAGAGGCCTCCCCAGATAGACAAGACGGCCCAAGAAGCGCCCAAGACGGCCCAAGAAACTTCCAAGAGGCCTCCAAGAGGGCTCCAAGATGCTGAAGATGGCCTCCAGACGTCCAAGGACGCCCCCAAGACGCCCCAAGAAGCCTCCAACATGCGTCCCAAGAGGGCCCCTAGACGCAAACATTGGCCCATTCCCTTCGTAAAACGTACATTTTTCACAAAGTTGCTTTTTGGGCTTTCCGACGTTACAGGACGGCCCACGAGGCGCCCAAGACCGCCCCAAGACGGCCCAAGAAGCTTCCAAGAGGGCCCCAGGACAGCCCAAGAGGGCCCCAAGACGGCCCAAGAGGCGCCCAAGATGGCCCAAGAGGGCCCCAAGACGGGCCCAAGAGGGGGCCCAGAGGGGGACCACGAACCGCAAGCTCGAGCCTTCCGCCCCAAGAGGCCGCCAGGAGGCCCCAAGGAGGCCCCTCAAGAGGCCCCAGGAGACCCCCAAGAGGCCCAAAGGAGGCCCCGAGAAGCCCCAAATCGGCCCCCAAAATGCTTCGAACCTGCTTCCAGGAGGCCCCCGACAGGTTCAGAGGCTCCCGAGAAGCTACGTCAAACTCCCAGCGAGAATGATCCTAGCTAGAACCTAAGCGCGCGCGAAGCGCGCGCGTGGTTCTAGTATATATATATATATATATATAATATATATATATATATATATATATGTAGGAGGCCCGAGGCCTGCCAAGCCTTCGGCGAAGGCCCGCCCCCTCCTGCAGGCAGTCTTCGGATCATAGCTCGGGCCTCCGGCGGCCGGTCGGGACGACCTGGGCCTCCCCGGGGAGCGCTCTCATCGCCGAGGCACCGCCTCTGGAGAGAGAGAGAGCACCCCCGAGGCAAGCGCACCGCCGAGAGGCCACGAGCGCCTGCGGCAACCTCGCGGCTCGGACCTCGAACCCCCCCTGGCTCCTTCCCAGACGTCCGGCTGCTCCAAAGGTTTCGGTGCGTGGACCCTTGGGGTCCAGGCCACTTCCCCGGGGCCAGCTTTTCGTCCTGAGCAGTTTCCTGACGCTCCCGAGGCCCGGCGAGGGCCCCCGGAGGCCGAACACGGCAACACAATCCCGCCGCCCAATTTTTTGTTACGGGCGCAGCCTGCAATTTGATCTTCGGGAAGTAGACAGAACTGACAGAACTGAACTGAATCACCAAAGCCGTTAGATGGCAGTTTTATTTCTGGAGATGCGGATGCTTCGCTGCCAGTTTTAAGTCAGGGGGGTGAGGATATTTCGCTGGCAGTTTTGAGTCCGGGGGTTGAGGATATCTCGCTGGCAGTTTTTGGCCAGGGGGTGAGAGTATTTCGCTGGCAGTGTTAGGCCAGACAGGCAGACAGACAGGCAGACAGACAGAAGCAGTTTTAGGCCAGGTGTGAGGATATTTCGCTGGCAGTTTTCAGCGAGGGGTGTGAGGATTTCGCTAGCAGTTTTAAATCAGGGGGTTGAGGATATCTCGTTAGCAGTTTTAGGCCAGAAGATGAGGATATTTCGCTGGCAGTTTTAAGCGAGGGGTGTGAGGATATTTCGCCGGCAATTTTAAGCGAGGGGTGTGAGGATATGTCGTTGGCAGTTTTAAGCGAGGGGTGTGAGGAGATTTCGCTGGCAGTTTTAATCGAGGGGAGTGAGGATAATTATTTCGCTGGCAGTTTTAAATCAGTGGATTGAGGATATCTCGCTGGCAGTTTTAGGCCAGGGGGTGAGGGTATTTCGCTGGCAGCTTTAAGCGAGGGGTGTGAGGATATCTCGCTGGCAGTTTTAAGTCAGGGGATGAGGATATTTGGCTGGCAATCTTAAGCGAGGGGTGTGAGGATATTTCGCTGGCGTTTAAGTCCAGGGGGTGAGGGTATCTCGTTGGCAGTTTTTGAGCGAGGGGTGTGAGGATATGTTGCTGGCAGTTTTGGGCCAGGGAGTCTGGATATTTCGCTGGCAGTTTTAATCGAGGGGTGCGAGGATATTTCGCTGGCAGTTTTTAATCAGGGAGTTGAGGATATCTCGCTGGCAGTTTTAGGCCAGAAGATGAGGATATTTCGCTGGCAATTTTAAGCGAGGGGTGTGAGGATATTTCGCCGGCAATTTTCAGCGAGGTGTGTGAGGATATTTCGCTGGCAGTTTTAAGTGAGGGGTGTGAGGAGATTTCGCTGGCAGTTTTAATCGAGGGGAATGAGGATAATTATTTCGCTGACAGTTTCAAATCAGTGGATTGAGGATATCTCGCTGGCAGGTTTAGGCCAGGGGGTGAGGATACTTCGCTGGCAGTTTTAATCGAGGGGAGTGGGGATATTTCACTGGCAATGTTTGACCAGGGTGTGAGGATATTTTGCTTGCAGCTTTAAGCGAGGGGTGTGAGGATATTTCGCTGCCAGTTAAGTCAGGGCGCTGAGGATTTTCTTGCAGACGTAACCAAGCAGCACCATGTGCCACGCACGGGCGGTCAGGCGTGATCGTCGGATTTGTTGGTCTGGGGTTCGGGGCGCATCATGCAGCCACAGCGTTGGAATATGGATCGCGTTCGACATTGGGCTGAGGCTCAATTCGTTGATCGGGGGATCGGGGCGCATCATGCAGCCACAGCGTTGGAATATGGATCACGTTCGACATTGGTTTCAATGGTTGGTTTTCCCCTGCCTGGCCTGGCCGAGTGTATCGCATCCAGCGCGATGCTGCGCCCGTACATATGCTCGCCCCTCGGCGTGGGGCCGAAGGGGGCCAAGGTGGCGAGCTGCCCGGCGATTTGGAGCGTCGGCTCCCTGGGTTCGGACTTCCCCCCATGGGCTCGCCCCATTCGATTCGACATCGGATTCCGATTTAGGATCCGATTTCTCAACGCAGGTCTGCTGGCCTGCCGATGTATACCGATTCGATGCTTCCCGACTCGGCTGCCGATTTTCGCCGATCCGATTCATGTCGATCGCCGATCCGACTTGTCGATCCGATCCTGGGCTCTCCTGGCTCCCTGGGTTCGGACTTCCCCCCCTTGGGCTCGCCGCCGAGAGGAGCAGCTCGCGAAGGCGCAGAGCCTGCAGGAGGAGGGCTCCAGCGCCCTCCGCGCGGCGCGCCCGCGCTGGTGCGGGCTCTCCGCCCTCCGGGGCCACGTGCTGTCGGTGACGGAGGCGGAGGTGCGCCTCCACGAGCGGGCCTCGCGGAGAACCAACAGGGGCCACGCGCGGAGGTTTTTTTTTTGTTTTTTCCCCCCCCCCCCCCCCCCCAAGCGCAACATTCAGGCAAAGGAAAGTGGCATGCTTGGTCTGATCCAAGAAACCTGGCGGTCTGTAGAAGCACGCGCCCGTGTGAACAAGCCTTGCAACGGCAAGATGCGCATGTCACGGAATACCTCTTTGAGGTGGTGCGGAACTGGAGGGGGGTTGCCGAAGCAGGAAAAACGCCATAAGCATGATAAATTGTTGGCGCTCCGCACGGATTTCTCGGGTCCGCGCTGGGCCCCCATGTGTATGGCGGGTTTTCTCCCTCTCTAGGGCAGGCTTGGCATCGCTCGGACGTGTGCATGTTTCCATTGGCGAGGGCCATCGAGGAGAGAGACCATCCTGCGACAAAAATGCACGCACACGAAGCCGAAACAATGCCAGCAGGGAATGGACGTCCGAGCCATGGCGAGTAGGGGGAGGGGGGAAGGCTTCTTAGACGCGTCCCTGTTTCTCAGATGGCGCTGGCCTTGTCTGTAGATGTAGGGCCGGCACCTTCCATAAGACGCATCCTCCTTCTAAGAAGGCTTTTCCCCTCCCCCTGTACCCCATCTGTGGGCGTCGCCAAAAACAATGACATATGAGCATTAAAAACTCCGAGCTCCGCGCGGAGTTCGCAGATCGGGGCGGGGGCCCCCCTGGCGGCGCCTCCGGAGCCGCCCTTGGCGCGCTGGGCGCGCCAGGGAGGGGGCTCCAGCGCCGATCCAAGACAGCCGCGCGGACCTCTGGACGTTCGTGCTTATGTCGTTGTCTGCTCCCCGAGGCCTGCCCCGCGCGCTCGCGGCCGATCTTCCTCGTCGGCGAGGGCGAGACGATCAGCGCCTTCGTCGCCAGCGAAGAGCTGTCCGTGGCCGCCGTGGGCACGTCCAGCGGGGCCATCCACTTCCTCAAGTACCGGAGCTGGGGCGGCGAGATCCACACGTGTCCACCGCCGCCGGCCAGGCCCGTCCTGGGCCCATGAGCGGCGCATGCGCCCCCTGACTTGCAATATGCAGCACCGCTCCAGGGCCCCGCATGGGGCTGGCCGGTGGCGGTGACTATGTGTACGCCCTGAGATCCGGCGTTGCGAGAAAGTTGCAGCATCGCGAAACATCACGCCCGGAGCCACGGATCCCATCTTTCTGCGTCATTTTTCGAGCCGGATCGATCTGTGAGGGCCCCGGGGCCCGACAAAGAGCGAAAACGCCCGGTGCGAAAACATTGCAACGCCAGGATCTCGGGGGATCTTGTCGCCCGAGGAGTGGGTTCCCGCTGAAGGTCTACCCAGGGCGCCGCGAGGATGCCGCGGGGCGCCGCGAGGGCGCCGAGGACTTCGCCGCCGCCGCGGGGACTGCGCCCGCGGCCGCGCCCGCGGCCGCGCCCGCGCCCGCGGGGGAGCCCGAGCGCGGCGTAGCCCCAGCCCTGTCCGACGACCCGGAGGACCCGCCGGAGCTGCCCGAGGAGGCTCGAGGAATCTAGGTCTCCTCGATGGGGTCTGACGAGGAGGAGGAGGAGGAGGTGGAGGAGGAGGAGGAGGAGGAGGAGGAGAGGAGGAGGAAGAG